ACCTAGATCTTATATCTTAGTCCTGGTTTTATGCTCATCAATTTCCAATAAATTCCAGAGTCTATATACACTACTCAAAAGAGTCTAGGGATATTCTAAATAATTATATATAAGTTAAAAAAAGACGCACAGTATAAATACATTTTATTAAATTATAAATTCATTGTTTGTTACTGTGTACTTTTACAACATTAATAATTTTTTTTATTAACCAAACAAAAAACATGTCGATGTTTTGCAAAACACTACTTTTTGCATAAGGAAATAATTTTACGTTTTTCATTTTAAAGACAGTATTTAAAGTGTGCTTGGTATATTCACTATGCAAAGAGTTCATTTGACCGAAGAACAGCGGTTACGCGCTGTTGGAATGCTCGAAGCCGGCCAAAACCAAGTGCTAGTAGCAGATACTATAGGCACCTCTCAAAGTGTTGTTAGTCGCCTTTGGAGTAGATATTGTGAGACAGGGAGTGTAAGTGAAAGACACCCAGGCCGTGGAAGAATAACTACCCCAGCGCAAGACCGGTTTGTACAACTACAAGCAAGAAGAAACTCAAATTTGACCGCTACACAACTGGTACGAAATTTACAGCAGACCCACAATCTAACCATTTCCGGTCAAACCATAAGAAATCGCCTACATGAGATTAATCTTTGGAGTAGACGACCTTTGAGAGTTCCACCACTAACCAGGGGCAATCGCAGAGCACGGGATATCTGGGCTAGAGAACATCTTGCATGGACAGATGAACAGTGGAGTCATATCTTATTTACAGATGAGTCTAGATTTGGAATTTACCCGGATTCAAGAAGAATACGAGTCTGGAGACAACCAGGAGCCGAAAACCGTCTTCGTAATGTTCAAGAGGTTCATACATTTCAAGGTGGAACAATTATGGTTTGGGGCGGAATAACATTAGGCGGAAGAACAGATCTCGTTCGATTAGAAGGAACATTAAATTCAGTCGCATATATGGATTTGATACTCCGTCCTGTCGTTATTCCATTCGCACAAAATGCAGAGCCCGAATTTTGTTTAATGCATGATAATGCACGCCCACATACCGCAAACGTTGTTAGAAATTTCCTTCGAACTAACCAAATCCCTGTTTTACCGTGGCCTGCTCAGTCGCCAGACCTTAACCCGATTGAGCATGTCTGGGATATGCTACAGAGAGGCGTTCTAAGGGTTAATGATTACTTTGAGAACCAAGAGCAGCTCTTTAATTGCCTTCAAGACGTATGGACCAGATTACCTCAAAATGAGCTAGATAATTTAATCCTAAGTATGCCTCGTAGATGTAGAGCAGTTGCAAACAGTAGAGGAGGTCACACTCGGTACTAAGAACACAAGCTTTTATTTTTTTCGTATTGATTTTGTTAATTCATTTATAATAAATTTTATTAATCAAGTTTGTAATTTTTATTTGCGAAGAATAAAAATTGTTACCACCTAAATTTTGATTTATTTTATATTGTTAGGACTTTTTAATTGAAAACAATTACAAAATAAAATAAAAAAATTAATAAAGAAGTTTTTAATTTCACTTAATCATAATATCCCTAGACTTTTTTGAGTAGTGTATTTAGATATGATTTAGGATGTTTTTAATATTATAACTAATAATTATAATCATTATGTCAAATGTAAACATATATGTTGAATTTAACGTTACCAAATTTGTCTCTTACAAGCCACTGGCTAAAACAAAATAAAATTCCTTGGTACTTTGCTACATTTTATCATAGAGTTTACGTTTGGCGTTGCCAACCTTTTCGTTCGAAAAATCCTGAGTTCTCTAGTCAAATTTCCGTAGAAATCCGTGGGTGAAGGGTAAAATCCGGACATTTATCCGTACCAGGGATCAGAGGTGGCAGGCACCGCGGCGACTTAGAAACTTGGATAGATTTACGAATTTTCACTAAAAATTTTGATTGGTACTCAATATTTATCAGCTGTTCAGTTATTTAGCATTGACATTTCGTCACCCTAATATAACAATGTTGTATGTTAAAAAACCGAAAAATTTGAGTTTATGCTTCTACAAGGTTTTATTTAATCCAACCTTGACATACAACTTGAAAATAACTCTATATATATGTATACATGTATACATTCTATAGAATTATTTTTAAGTGGTATGTGAAGCGCAGGCCACGTATAATGCTGTAGAAACATAGACTTAAATTTTTCGTTTTTTTTTAACATACAACCTTGTTATATTAGGGTGACGATTTGGCGCAAGGTGGCGCTTTCTTAGTAGTGCTGGGCGCTTTTAAGATTTACACATTTCATTAATTCATATATTTATAAACAATGTAATTAGATACTAATAGTGTGATACATGTATAAAAAACTTTTAAATGTAAATAGATACCAAAACAAATTTAAAACTTTAGTTGCCATTTTTTTCACATCATCTTTTTGACAGACAGCCATAGATAACAAACACAAAATTCCTAAACTAATGAGTGCGTTCCATGAAACGTTCCATGAGTACGTTCAGTGCAAGGTTTTATACCTGCCGTTTACTGGACGGAGCGAAATAGTTAAAAAATATAAAAAGGGTTTCAAGCAATTTTTTACTTGTCGCAGGTTTTAATACATAAAATATCAAGTATTTATGAATTATGCGATAATGTCCAAATATCCGTAGATTTTCAGACAAAATCCGGTTATCCGTTAATGACCCTTAAAATCCGTAGATCTACGGAAAAATCCGTAGGGTTGGCAACGCTGCGTTTGACAAACATATGTAATATTATAGGTTATGTATGAATTTATTCTACAGTGGCCTGTAATTTTTAGTTATCTTCACTGATTTTGATCTAAATGCGATAGATGGAACTACTCTTTCTATCTAATTTTAATGCATTTTTATTACTGTACGGCGGTGTATAATAATTTGACTTTTAAACTGCATACAAAAATAAAGTCTTTTTATAGGTTTAGGAGTGTTATAATATGAAAATTACTGTACGCTTGAAAAAAACTTTTTTATTATGCGTTTTACAAAAAAAGTAATTCTTCATAAAACCCTGCATATGAAAAATATAAAATTATAATAAAAAATCTTAATTTAATATACAGGGTGCTCAGAAATTGGGAAAATATGATAATTTCTCAGGAGAGAAGTACGTAGGTACCTTTAATTATTATTTTATTAAAAAAAATATATTAAGAAAAAGTCAATGACATTTTCAATTAAAGTCTAAATAGTATGAAATAGAAACATGTATTTTAAAATTTTATTTTATTTTTGTTAAAAAAAATATTCCCTCCTTAACCCTTAACTAGTCGCGCAGGTGCACTGAGTGCTCCGTTTTTATTAAAACCTCTATAACTTTTTGTCGTTTTCTTGGAATTAAATGCCCTTTTCATGTAACCTATGACTGATTTGTCTACCATGCACTGTCGACGGCATATTTAGTTTAAACTATTGATTTCAAAGTTATGGACAGAAAACTTGAGATTGATTTAGAAATACTTCACTAAAACGTAACTAAATTTCAATTTTTGTAATGCAAAATATTTCTAAATCAACAAAATATGGAATTTAAAACATAATGGTTTTTAAGGTATACATTTTTATAAGAAAACACAATTAAAAAAAGAACGGCTAAATTTCCTTCTGATTTCTTTTTTTCTGAGTAGAAGTAATAACTTTTTTGTTATTTGCTTTTTGTTTTATTTTTTTAATAAATATTGTGTTTAAGAAATAGAGTTTATTCATCGGAATATAACCAAAAGTAATATTAAAATTGAAAACATTCAGCAATATAGCCATTTTAAGGAGCGGAGCACTCAGTGCACCGCGCGACCACTTATGTTACAAAAATTGGCGCGAGTACACAGAAAAAACGCTAGCATAGCATTAATAGGTGAGCCATTAAACCAATGGGACCTTGCAATCCGTATTCCTGAATAACAGTTCCTATAATACCAATAGGTAGTTAGCACTTGGTTTATAATCGTTTACTGTTTTTAAATTAAAAACAAAAGTTATCGCTCCTAAATCTATCTATTCATATTGATATTTATTTGTTAGAATTTGTTATGCATTAAATACTAATTTGATTTATTTAATAACGTTACTATTGTATGTATACTATGTATACATTTAACGCAATAAATTCTTTGACATTTAGGCAAAATATTTCCCTATTTTGGTTTAATAGTAATTAATTGAGCAAATAACAATTTAGATTGCTTCAATTTTAATGCATTCAATGACAGCGCTGTTCTTGGTTAACAACGGGAATAATGAACTCATTATTTACGTTGTTTCACGATTTCAATATTTACTGTGATTTGAACCAATTAGGTTTTAAATTGGGAGAAGGCGACCATAATAACATTTAAAATTGGTAAAAAGTAAGGTTAACCATTTGAAAAATGCCAGATTCGATTTATTTATTTTTTAAAATTATTTAATTATCTACTTATTGGAATATATAAAGTATAGTAGGTATTACACTCGAGATTATGAGTGTTATTTAACAGGATGATTTAAGTATCTCGTCTGGTGACTCGAGACCCAACCCTCATCCTCTTTAATAATACTTAGTGTGCATCTCTCGTATAATTATACACTATTAAGAAAATAGGTTTTATAAAAAATGTACATCTAAATTACTAGTATTTTAAGAGTCCGCTTGTCTCTGTGCGACAAAAGTTACTGTTCGTAAATTAATAAAAAAAGAATACATATTATTCAATATAATGTTATGCTCTTTTAATTAAAAAAATAAACTTTCAACTAGTATAAAAGTATCCTATATAAAATCGTACACTGGCCGTATAGTAATAATTGAATTAAATTAACAATAAAACGATGTTTTAACAAAATTAGCTACCTATTAGCTATATTTAATGGTATACCGTTTCTCATTTAATTTATTAACTTTATTAAAGCGAAATTTTATTATCAATGTTATTGTCAATCATTTATTTTAGTAACCAATAAATGATCAAAACTAATTAAATATTTTTATTGCAGATTCATCGAAATGGTGGCGAATTAGTCCTAAGTAAGAGGTCTACAAATTAAGAAAACAATTTAGAATTTACAATGGTTTAAACGAGGATATTAGAAAAAATAAAAATGGATAATTGGAATTCGACAAATTTAAGCGCAAAGGGTGAATCCTATCACAGCAACAAAGCGGACATCATCAATAACGAACTGGTTCAAGTCATATTTTTTATGATCTACACGACTATATTTATACTGGGAATTTTTGGGAATGTGCTCGTGTGTTATGTCGTATTTCGAAACAAAGCGATGCAAACGGTGACGAATTTATTCATCACGAATTTGGCGTTATCTGATATACTTCTATGTGTGTTAGCTGTACCGTTCACCCCTCTGTACACATTTCTGGGCAAATGGGTGTTCGGAAGTGTTATATGTCATTTAGTTCCATACGCCCAGGGCGCTAGTGTCTATATTTCCACTTTAACTTTGACGTCTATAGCAATAGATAGATTCTTTGTCATCATCTACCCGTTTCATCCTAGAATGAAACTGTCTACTTGTATCCTGATCATTTTTAATATCTGGTTGTTCTCTTTGTTAGTCACTGTTCCGTACGGTATTTACATGAAGCAGTACAAAGGTATCCACAATTCTTCAGTGTCTTACGAGGAAAATATTTTCTGCGATGAAAATTGGCCGAGCGATCAATGGCGTGGGCTATTTGGCGGATTAACCACAACCATGCAGTTCGTGATCCCCTTCTTTATAATGGCTTTCTGCTACATCTGCGTCTCCTTTAAACTCAACGATAGAGCCAGATCCAAACCTGGTTCAAAAAACTCCCGCAAGGAAGAAGCAGATCGCGATCGAAAACGTCGCACCAACCGAATGCTTATTTCAATGGTAGCAATTTTCTTGATGTCATGGCTTCCCTTAAATACGATCAACATTGTGAATGATTTCCACGATCTAAACAACTGGAAATACTATTTGTTAAGCTTCTTTTTGGTTCACGCTTTGGCGATGTCGTCTACTTGCTATAATCCATTCCTATATGCATGGCTTAACGAAAACTTCCGCAAAGAATTCAAACAGGTGCTTCCTTGCTTCGAAGGTGCCAACAGAGTTGTCAACAATGCAGGCAGGCTGGGCAACTGGAGGTCGGAAAGGACTTGCAACGGAAATGATACTCAACAGGAATCTCTTTTACCTTCTGGAATTCACCGGGCCGCTTCGGTAAAAGAGAAGAAACCGATCCCACCACCCGCCAAAACCGATAGCGTAGAAGTTGAAAATGTTCTTGTGCCAAATGTTGGAGCTGTATACGATTCTTTGGCCGACACGGTCCGGCTAAAGTACATTACGGAGGAAGAACCTCCACCGTATGACACTCCTCAACAACAACCACCAACACCACCACAACCACAATGAATTAATTGAATTTATTTATGTATATGTATACATATATCTGTACCTCAGAGCCATCAGGAGTTAAGTCCAAAAAGTTATAACTTTATTATGCGTGGCAGCCATTTAAAGATGAGCCGGTGTTTTATTTTACTATATAACTTACAATTTTCCAATAAATGTACATTTATTGGAAAATTGTAAGTTATATAGTAAAATAAAACACCGGCTCATCTTTAAATGGCCGCCACGCATAATTAACTTTTTGGACTTAACTCCTGATGGCTCTGAGGTACAGATATTCTTTGTTAAGTGAAGTATATTTAGTGTTTAGGAAAATATGTAATGTTAAAATAAAAGTTTTTCTATAACTCGACTTTTAATAATCCAAGTAGGAAGTTTATCTTTTACTTTATTATTAATCATTTAACTTTAACATCTGTTTCTGTGACTTTGTGGTTTAACCACGATCATGCAGTTCGTGATTTCCTTCTTCATAATGGCTTTCTGCTTCATCTAAGTCTTTTTTAGAATCAACGGTAGATACAGTTTCAAACCTGGTTCCACAAACTCTATCAAGCAAAAAGCAGATCGCGATTGTAAAGGTCATACCAACTGAATGCTTATATCAATGGTAGCAATTTTCCAATGTACTTCCCTTAAACACAATCATTTTCGTAAATTTCATAAATAATTTCTTTTTGGTTCACGCTTTGAAAATCTTGTCTAATTCCTATAAATAGCATAACAAATTTAAATTTCTAGCTATTTTTTTAATATCTTGTGAATTTATTAAATATCGATAAACGTCGCTTCAAAGTTCAGAGTCTAAACGCTTCCTTTGTACTCATATTTCTATTTTAATAAAATATAAATTATGCTAATAATCTGCTTATAAAAAAGTAATCTCTTGTTTTTATTATATTTGGCTTGGCTCAAATAAATTATTTATATTTATTTAGTGAAAAACTTGGGTTTATTGGACTTTTTAAACTGATATTTGGTTAATACAAGTAAATATCTAGTTGACTTTTTATCTCAGGTTTAGTAGAAGCTTACTTAAAGAAACAAAACCAGCATCCAAACAATTTAATTAATTGCTCTAAATAAATATTTGTTTACAATTAATCACAACACTAAGTTGTTCTCAAGAAACTTATGATTTGCAACCAAATAATAGTATTTTCTTATTGTAAACAACAAGTTACTACGAATAAGAAAATTTTACTTTATACAAGAAAACCTGTTTCAAATAAAGGCATTTTCTTAAATCAAGAGATTACTTTTCTCTGTCTATGTTGTTAAGGAAAATTACAATTATCTCCTTTACAAAGACAGGTTCAAAAATAATTTATATGAATTTGACGGATTAACCACCACCCGCATGTTCGTTATCACCTTTTTCTTAATGGCTTTTTTCTACATCTACGTCTCTTTAAACTCAAAGACAGAGCAAGGTATAAACTTGATTTAAAAAACTCCTGCAAGGAAGAAGCAAATCGCGATCGGAAACGTCACCAACCGCATTGTTGTAGCAATTTTCTTGATTTTCTGGCTTTCCTTAAATACAATCAACATCGTAAATGATTTCCACGATCTTAACAACTGGTATAAAGTGTATTCAAATTCAAGCTGGACTAAACAAAAACGCCAAGACGCATGATAACTCGTTCTTATTGGTCGATTCTGATGGTGTTACTCGGATTGTGAGTTCTTATTGGTTGATTCGGAGGATTGTGTTTACATTTAGTCCAGCTTAGATTTGAAGAGTTGTCGCGGCGAATGTTTCAAATTGCGTCATTAAATTCTGAACCAAGCACAGACATTACAATTATTGTTGTGTTATTTTACATATATAATCCAAGGAACGGCTAGGTTAACTGTATGTTGAGAAATGGGTTTTTGACATTCGACATTGATGACGCAATTTGAAACATTCGCCGGGACTAGTAATATTTTTAAGCTTTTTTTTGTTCAGGCTTTGGCGATGTCGTCTACTTGCTACAATCTATTCCTCTATTACCTATTGGTTTAACGAAAACTTTGGCAAAATATCCAAAAAATGAAATCAGTAAACGAAAAGAAACATAATTTACAGTATCTTGTTAATCCAGTGTCTTACCTAAAACAATGGAATAATGGGAAGCTTAAAAACATCGCTTGTTACAATAAAAACGAACATGAAGACAATAAAAACATGGTGCAGTTCTGGATAATGAAAATCAGCATTCGAATTAATTGCCGGACAGTGTTCGCGAGATTCTACTGTATTAATGTTCTTTGTATTTTTTTTATAATTTGTAATAAACGTTTAAAGATTCTCAAATTTCCATCGAGTTTCCGCTTTGCCAACCTAGTTCTTTTATACGAATAAATGCTCTAAAACAAAAAATATTAAGGTAGGTAATTAAACATAACATACTTACTAGGATTTCTACATCGGAATTTATTTAACTTAAAATTCACTTCATTATAAGATGAATAGTAGGTATTACTAGCACGATATATTTACTTTAGTAGACAAAGCAACCATTCCATCTCAAACAGTAAATTTAATGTTGGAATAAATTTAACACATCTAGTTACTGCTTAAGTAAATAAACTGTTTTGAAATAATCATAAACATTTAGACAAGGTAGTAAATATAAGGGGCATTACATGCATGTATGCCAAATTGACCACTTTTGTTTTGGCTAAAAAATGTATGTTATTGTGTTTTTTTTTAATTTTTTTACTTGAAAGGTAAAAATGTCATTACTTCAAAAAATACACCAATAAAACATTTATATACTTGTTGGCAATGGTATTAAGCGCCCTAGTACAAATGTAAAAGTTATGCGAACGGCTAACTAATATCAGTTCGGGCACTAGGCGAAGATAAGGCAAATCTTGATAATGTTCAGTGGTCGCCTTATTGAAAGTAAAATAGTACTTACCTACCTATGCATATTAAGCCATAAATATACCTATAGGTATACAAATGAAATAACAATAATTTTTAATGATTTTATACTTGCGGGTGGAATACAAAAATAACAAAAAAACAATCTAATGAGCTATAGTTTTTTATTTTAAATAAAATTCATCTCAACCTAAAAATATATTCATATTGTAGAAAAAAATGTCTGCCGAGTTTGAGCCTTTTCCGATAACGTTAACACTTTTATAACATTTTCCATATTTTCTTCGCCGCGGCGCAAAAAAACGACTATATTTTTTCTAGTATCCTATGAAAATATGATATATGTTTTAAGAGCTTACACCAAAAATCAGCTCGATTAAAAATGTCGCACACGAATTTTATTTTGTTTAACTTTTTTTATTGCTACTGTAAATTTTTCTACACGAAAATAAAGTTTCTCGAAATTTTCGCTGAAATTAAAAAGTTTTAAACAACATTGTTCTGTCACTAAACAGTGCTGACAATTTTTAAACGTTTTCAGTTTCAAGCAAAGTTTAAACAATTGTTAAATAAAACTCTATAAACATGTATTTTTAAATGGCGTAGTAAGTAATAGTTATTTATGTCATTAGGTTAAGAAGTAAGGCTTTTTGTGCTAAGCTCACGCGTAGCGGAGGCCTACAATTGTGCGAAGCACAAAAAGGCACTTCTTGGCCGAATGGCATACAACATTTTATCTTCAAAGCACTATATAGGTCAATTTAATTCAACATCAATGCGGTCTAACCTCACTTTTTTAGAATCTCATTTATTTATTAGCTAATATAAATGTACAATAATTATTATTGCTTTTAGAAGCAGTAATAGTTTGACAATACCTAGCAACATGATTTAAGTAGAAATGGATTTTTGCTATTACATTGAATTCAATTAATTGTTTAATAAATAGGTAGGTATCTAATTTTAATTTGTTTGGATTTTTATTTAAAAAATAGGTAGTTTGGAATGTTTAAACTGTGTTTAACATTTAATTTCACTGAAAACTTAAAGCAAATTAAAACTTAAAGATAATTTAAATTGTAGAAAAAGAATCGTGCGTTTTCTTGGTTGCCTAACCTCACTTTTTGTTTTATTATTCATATTTAATTTTACAATAATTTAATGAAAAATATTAAACATTAACAGTAAAACAAACAAATTAGTGCTTATTATAAATAAATTAAACCAGTTTAGTACGTTAATTTCTTAGAAAAGGATTAATTTGTCAAAACAATACCCCTAGCGAGAAAAAATCAAACTAATTACTTGCCTCATAAAAATTTTTATCGGCCTAGGCCATAACAAGGTATTTCTTTATCGAATGTTGACAACAACAAAGTTTAAATTATAGACCGCGTGGAGATAAATTAATTTATATAGCAACGGAATCATTTTACTATTTAAATTGATTTGCATACAAATTATTTAAATATATTTAATGAATTGTGATGTCACTCGGGTTTTTTGGCTGTTTCCGGAGTGCTATCGGTTAATTAAAATATCAAGGTAGTACCTTTTTAAAACACTATTAAATAACAGAGGCGTATATTATAATAACTAATTCTGGGTCTTCAAATTACCAAAAAATTCATGTCGACTAACTCCATGTAGTTTGCAAATTTGGACCATTTTCAAAAAATGTGAAAAACCCCTAATTGTCGGCGTTTGTATTTAGACGACTCAAATGAACTAAACATTTAAAATGGTGGTTTCAAAGACTTTTTATTTAAAATAATAAGAAAATTAAATAAAAATCCACCTAATGCTTATTTATGCATAGTCCATTTACCTATTATAAACTTCATTAACTCAATTAACTTCATAAACTTAATTACCTAAGCAAGCAATCTATAAAATAATACGTTTAAAGACAAATTTTCCTTTAAATAATCTTACAAAGATTTAAAGGGCAAACCTAATTTTAGATTTTAGTATAATAAAAAATGAAAAATTTGCATCACATAGAAAAGTTGAGGAAAAATTTGACGAAGCTCGTTTAAGACAAAATTAAATCATGATAAACTAAAATCGTTTGTTTAGTCGAGATATCTTTTTAGTTTCATTTTACTCTTATATTTTAGCAACCCCCACCCCCACAATTTTTTTCTGCCTGGGCCACTTGGCAAAAATTAAAAAATACGTGTCCCCTAAATTTATCTCAAGAATCTGTGACCAAAATTTGTTGCATTAATTTCGGGACACCCTCCCTGGCGAAAATGAAA